AACAAACTCAACTATAACACTAAACCTTACTCTTAGCTGTGGGCCAGTCCTTATCTTAACACTAACCTGAGTCTTAACTATAACCCTAACACTAAATGTTCTGTTAGAAGAACTGCCTCTTGTTTATACATAGGTTCCTTATGAGCACAATTAAATGCTCCAGAATACTCACTCTCCAAAATGTTGTCCATTGCATGTCATGAGTCACACAACTGAAAGCCTTCACATAGTCAATAAAACACAGGTAAACATCTTTCTGGTATTTTCTGCTTTCGGCCAAGACCTATCTGACATCAGCAATAATATCCCTTATTCCATGTCCTCTTATGAATCTGGCTTGAACCTCTGGCAATTCCCTGTCACTGTACTACTGGAGTAAATTTTGAATTATCTTTAGCAAAATTTTACTCACATGTAATTTCTACATTCCGTTGGGTCATCTCTCTTTGGAACAGGCACAAATAAGGATCTCTTCCAATGACTTGGCCAGGTAACTGTCTTTCAAATTTCTTGGCATAGATGAATGAGTGCCATCACTCATCTGTCAGTTTGTCATACTGCGGTGGCTTGCATTTTGTGGCAATGCTGGAAGCTATGCCACCAGTATTTTAATTACCAGCAGGGTACATCCATGATGGAATTAGAGGATAGGATAGTTAAAATTACAGATGTTAAAGAACAATAAGAATGGAGGTTTAAGAAGGCTAAGCAGAGTTCAATGGAATTATACAAGTGACCTAATGTATGCATCTTAGGAATTCCAGAAGATGAGAGAAAGGGACAGAAAGAATATTTGAAGAAACAATGACAAAAATCTCCTCCAATCTAATGAAAGGCATTTATCTACAAATTCAAGAAGCTCAAAGGATAAACCTAGAGACATCAACATTAAGATATATCATAGATTCTCAAATATTAAGACAAAAAGAGAATCTTGAAAGCAGTTAGAGAGGCAAACAGCAACATAAAAAGGATCCCCAGTAAGACTATTTGTTGTTATATGCCGTGGAGTCGGTTCTGACTCATAGTGACCTTGGGCACAGTTTCCGAGGCTGTAAATCTTTACGGGAGCAGACCGCCTCATCTTTAAGTGCCAATTTTTCCTCAAACACATCGGAGTATAAAAGTAATGGAATGATATATTTAAAGCACTGAAAGGAAACTGTAAACAAAGAATATTATATCCAGCAAAACTATCCCTCAAGAACAAGGGTGAATGGGTGGAGGATAGACACATGTTGGGTAACGTTAAGTGCTGTAGAGTCGATTTCAACCCATAGTGATTATGCATAGGGTTTCCAAGGAGCAGCTGGTGAGCTTAAACCGCCAATCTTATGGTTCAAACCAGTTTTGTAGTCCAGCGCATTAACCAATAGTGCCACACCAGGATACTGATGGGTAATAGGAGACTGGTACAGGAAAGATGAAGGTAGTGGAAGACACTGGGAGGAGTGCAAGAATTACAGCCCAAAGAGGTGAATACTGTGAACTGATTGTGCATGGAAGAAACTACAATCACTGTCATGACAGGAAGGACATTATTTGTTGAGTATGGGACTGATGATCTGCTCTGTAAATATTCACTCAATTCACAAAAAATTAAAAAAAAAAAAAGAGGGTGAACCTAAAAGAAATATTATTTGATGATTACCAAGTATGGTTGTTGTTCAATACTGTTGATTCCAACTCATAGCAACCCTGTATAGGGTTTCTGAGGAACGGTTGGTAAGTTAGAAGCACCAACCTTCCAGTTTAAACCTACTTTGTGGTTCAGTGCTTATCCTACAGTGCCACACCAGGACTCCACCAGAGAGGAAAGGCAGTATAAATCACTGGCTAGAGAGTAGACACACTACCTTGTGTGATGGAGAAGGCAATATACAATAAGAGGCAAGTTGGCAGAAGAATGATGAAGGCACAGGAAGACACAGTAAGGAGTGTAAGAGTTACAGTGAATACAGGTAAATACTGTCATATACACAATCCTGCAATAAGAGTGTCTAAAGGTAAATGCATGGGCACACAGGCTGAATAGGTGTAAGAGAGTGGGAGCATACCCACAAATACATAGTTTTGACAGGATATTTGTACATGGGTATTTGCTTTTGCTGGAAACATATCCATGAATGTGGTGCACATAGGGAGCAAAATGATGAAAACTTCATTGACATGACCAAACACCTTTAGGTCTTTTGAGTCTTGTCTTGTCATCTTCTGGACACAAGAAGATGGGGATCCTGGAAGAAGCTGTTATGAGGCACCCTGTCTTCAATTAGAATTGCAGAATATAAAACCACTTAGCTGCAGAATTAGATTTTGTTTCCCAGCAACTCCTGTTGCCATCATTGGCCACTTCTGTTGTAGTGTCACTCTTTTTGGTGAGTGGAACTAGGACCTGGGAGCTGGAACCTTAGGCTTACTCTTTTCATTGTCTGTATAAGGTAACAAACTGTCTAAATCGAAAAGTGCCTCATTTTATCTTTATCAGTAGAGTCAACCAGGCCTTGGCCTTGCCTTGTCTTGAGAAAGTGATCATGACAAGTTACGTGGTACATGGTTCAAAGTCAAAACAATATTTAAAAAAATGGTAAACTAAGAAATCTTGGGGTTATTCCTATCATCTCTATCCTGTTCCCAATGATCCACTATGTTTTTGCTGTTGTCTCATTGGGAGTAGGAACAACTCATAGCAACCCTGTATGGGTTTCTGAGGCTTTATAACTTTGAGGGAGCAGAAAGCCTTATCTTTCTCCTGGCAGAGCTGATGTCAGGCTCAAATGCCAGACCTTGTGGATTGCAGTTCAATATTTAATATAATATATATATATATATATTCTTGTTGTTAAGAGCTTTTGAATTGGTTCTGACTCATAGTGAGACTGTATAGGGGGTTTCTGAAGAGTAGCTGGTCGGTTTGAACTGCCAGTCCAGTGCTTATCCTACAGCACCACACCAGCACTCCACATACACACACACACACACACACACACGTACCACTAACCACTCCTTGGAAAACCCCATACATACAAGGTCACTATGATTTGGAACCAACTCAATGGCACCTAACAACGACAAAGTATGCATTTAGCACTAGTTGTGGTTAAGTGCCGTCAAGTCAATTGTGACTCTAGTGATCCTGTATAAGGTTTCCACGGAGTGGCTAGTGAGTTTGAACCCCCAACCTTGTGGTTCAAACTGACTTGTGGTCCAGTGCTTATCCTATAGCACTACACCAGGACTAAGCACTTAGCTCCTAACCTAATGGTTAGTGGTTCAAACTCACTGTTGCTTTGCTGATGAAAAAACCTGGTGATCTACTTGCATAAATGCTGTTGTTAAATGCCACAGAATTGGTTCCTACTCACAGCGACCCTGTATAGGGTTTCCAAGGAGCAGCTGGGGGGTTTGAACCACACACCATGCAGTTAGAAATCCAGTGCTTATCCTACAGAGCCACACTAGGAGTCCTCCATGAACACTTACAACCTAGGAAATGTGGCAGTTCTACTTTGAAATACAGGATCACTTAGGGCTGGAATTAACTCGAAGGCACACCAAGAACATGTGAATAGATATACACCCTCTAAGTGATCCTAAGGGCTTATATATAGAACCCTGGGTCATGTGTTGGGCTGCTAACCACAAGGTCAGCAGTTTGAACCCACCAGTTGTTCCGATGGAGAAAGAGGAAGCTTTCTGCTCCCATAAAGCTTTGTAGCTTCAGAAAGCCTACACAGGGTCACTATGAGTTGGAATCAACTTGACAACAATAGGTTTAGGTTTATATATATATATATATATATACACATACACCAACATTTTTTTCTCTCTTTTATACAAAATGTAACAATGTGTTTAATCTTTTGCATCTTGCTTTTTCACATAACAAAAAACATCCTGGAAATCATTCCCTATCAGTTCAGAGTTCATCCTCATAATCCTCAACTATCCTGTATTTACAAAACCAAATGGTTCCAGGATATGCAGAGTGCTTTTTGTCCTTAGTTTCCCATTTCCTCCCAGTCTGAACCACAGAGTTGATAATTGTTGTTAAGTACCAGAGTTGGTGCGGACTCATAGCAACCTTGTATAGGGTTTCCAAGGAGCAGCTGGTGGGCTTGAACCACCAACCTTATGGTTAACAGTCCTGAGCTTGAATTGAAGATACAGAAGTGGAATTTGGGCATTAAAAAAAAAACTTCCTTTCATTATTCTCTACATTGAGTAGACAGGAATAATATAAGGGAGCTTTAAAAGTTCATGGAAAAATTCCATTATCTTTTCATTCCATCTTTCCATAAACTTTTTTGAAATCCCCTCATGGATACCATGAGTTTTTCTGTGACTTCTTGGCTCTGAGCGCCCCCTGAATTTGAAGCAGAGTCCCAGCTCAATGTGACAGTGAAGCTGTCATGTGCCCTCTTCCTGTGGCTCTTCCACTGTGCTCATCAGCTTCAGTTTCTTAGGGCCCTTCAGAGTTCAGCTCAAAGAGAGGCCAGACTATTAAAAGTGAGCTCTGGATACTGGAGTCCTGCCCACTATAAAGAGGGCCTCAGGATTATTCTCTAAGGAGCTCTGGTAGCACAGCGGTTACAAGTCAGGCTGCTAACCTCAAGGTCAGCAGTTTGAACCTACCAGCCATTCTGTGGAAGAAAGACGAAGCTTTCTTCTCCCATAAAGACTTACAGCCTCAGAAACCCTACGCAGGGTCGTTACAAGTTGGAACCAACTCTGTGGCACACCACCACCAGTATTATTCTCTGAACCACATATTTAAGTAATTGATTACAGCCACATGTTTATCTTTTTATAAACTGTTCTCTAGTTGCCAAATGCATTGTAAACCCAATTCCCTTTCAAGGACTCTGTCATACTTCTGTGTTCAAATAATACCTAAAATAATAAGTGCTATTAAGACATACAGCAGGCTTTTCAATTAACAGAACACAAAGATCTGGAGAATTCACCCCTACTGCAAACTCTCTGAATCAGTAATTTACCTTGCATAATCCTGGGGCGAGATCAGAAACTTGTCTTTCATCCGGACCTCAGCCTTGTTCTCCCACCAGAATCTGTTGGTTGCTTTCTTGTGCTCTGGGCTGAAAATAGAGAGATGAGTAATCTCAGTTGTGGAATATGACTTAGAAACCTAAATATTAGTTAAGTAATACACTCTGATATTTGGGTTTCTACCAGACCCTTCAAGATCTCGAGTTTCCCTTATTCCAATAATAATGTGAGAATCTAAGGGCGTGATAATCGATGACATTGAGCCAGCTGTTGCCAGCTGGCTTTCCCATTTGTTAGGTCCCCTTAAGTTGATTCCATAACAACCCTATGTATAAGAGAAGGGAACATGCAGGGAGGGCCCTACACCATTCTCACAATAGCTGCTTTTTTTGAGCCCACTGTTGCAGCTACTTCAGCAATTCATCTCACCGGGGCTCTTCATCTTTATCACGGACCCTCTACTTTACCAAGTACCACGCCCTTCTCCAGGGATTGGTCCCTTCTGATAACAAATCCAAAGCACATAAAACAAGTTTCACCATCCTTGCTTCTAAGGAGCATTCTGGCAACACTTCTTCAAACACTTATTTGTTCTTCTGGTAGTCAATGGGAATTTCAGTATTCTTCACCAACACTATGATTTAACGGCATCATCAATTCATCTCTAGTCTTTCTTACACACTGTCCAGCTTTCAGAGGCAGATGAGACGCCTGGAAATACTATAGCTTGGGGTCAGGAACACCTTAGTCCTCCAAGTAGCATCTTTACTTTCTAACACTTTACAGTGGTGGTGTTTTTTTTACAGCACTCAATCCATCCACCCTGATCAAATTACAAAAGCATCCTTCCTGGCACCTACACTAAACACTCTCGCATATTTTAGTGAAGGGCTTGGCTGATAGACCTGGCCTGCATCTCACCTGGCCAGATGTTCCAGCAGCCCCCCGTGCAGCACGGTCAGGTTGCCATGGCTAAGGTGTTTCCGCACCTCACTGCCACAGCACAGGCACCAGCAGCGTCGATCGTGTTCGGACACGTATCGCTCCACCTGCGCGGCTCTGACTGCCTTGCGGGCGGCTTCAACCTAAGGCGGAGAGAGTGGGAAGGGGAGGTGCTAAGTAGAACCCCCTCGGGTCCTAACAGTATAGCCCCGCACCCCGTCCGCTAGCGTCCCAGCTTCCTCCAGCCTTCCGTCAGCACCTGGGGCAGGAGCCGCTCCAAAGCCGCCTTAAGCTGCCGCTGGTGCTTGCGACTGTAGACATGTCCACGACCACAGAAGAAGGTTTGGCGACACAGAGGACAGTGATGCGCCGACGCCATGGGCCCAAGACTCTGTATTTCGGAGAGTTACCACAGATCGCTCAACATCCGGTGACTCCTGACCCTCAGGGGCGGGGCGAACCAAACGATGCCCCCAGCGGCGGGTTGGCGCCACTGCAAGTCCAGCTGCGGCTGCGCGGATCTTCCTCCCGCCTCCCTCTCTGGGTTCAAATTTGGCAGTCTTGAATCACTAATGTGCAGATTCGCAGAAATGCGCAAACAATTTAGGGGAAGACGTAAATTGTTAAATAATGTAACAAATCATAACTACTATTTATAGGCTGGTGGGTGCAGTACTAATCATACCCGGTGTAGTACTAATCATAAGGTCAACAGTTTGAATCCACCAACTGCTTGCAGGAGAGACTTTAAAGCTGCCATAAAGATTCACTGCCTTGGAAATCTACGTAGGATCACGATAAGTCGGAAATGACTCCCTGGCAGTAGGTTTTTTGGGTTTTACTGTGTGTGAAGAAGCCCTGGTGGTGCAGTGGTTAAGTACTCCTTGCTAACCAAAAGGTCAGTGGTTCAAACCCATCAGCCACTCCATGAAATAAAGATGTGGCCGTCTTCTACTTCCTCTAAGATTGTTATTAAATAAGTGCCGTAGAGTCAGTTATGACTCAGCTATCTGTATAGGGCTTCCGAGGAGCATCTGGTAGGTTTGTTGTGTTGTTGTTGTGAAGCGCTGTTGAGTCGGTTCTGACCCATAGCGACTCTGTATAGGGTTTCCAAGGAGCAGCTGGTGAGCTTGAACCGCCAACCTTGCAATTCAAACGACTTTGCAGTCTGGCGCATTAACCCACAGCGCCACAGCAGGTTTGAATAGCCAATATTGTGGTTGTAAGTTCAGTGCTGACCCTATAGCGCCACACTAGCCTTAAAAACTATGGGGCAACCTTGCTTTATCCTGTAGGGTCGCTGTGAGGTGGTGATGGGTTTGGCTTGGGGTACCATAATGAGTTACTGTGTGTGTGGTTGTGAAAACGGTTAAGTGTAATAAAAGTCTGGTGATCTACTTCTTTAGAAATCAGTCATTGAGAACTCTATGGTGCACAGTTCTATTCTGACGCACATTAGGTGGTCATGAAACAATTAACTGGATGGCAACTTTTTGATTTTTGTTTGTTTTTAAAGCTGTGTGCCCAGATGGGGGCAGTGGTGGTTTCCTGATAAAATTCTCACCTGCCATGTGGGAGATCAGGGCTTGATTTCCAGCCAAAGCACCTCATAAACAGCCACCAGGTATGTGTCATCGTGGGTTTCTGTTTAGCTATGATGTTGAACAGGTTTCCGTGGAGCTTCCAGACTGAGATGGCTCCAGGAAGAGTTTTGTTCTGTAGTGCATGGGCTGGCTGTGAGTTGAGGGACTGACTGAACAGCAGCTAACAACAACTATGTGTCCAGAACGTTACATTATCTCACTTAATCCTCACAATAACCCTATGTGGTTTACTAACATCATCGTTTCACAATTGAGGAAACCAAGCATGGGAAGTAAGAAACTTTGGAAGGTCACACAGGTTTTAAGTAATGGAGTCAGCCTCTCTGGCTCCCATGCTCTTAAATATAGCAGGTGTTGCGCTGTGGGTTAATGTGCCAGACTGCAAAACTGTTTGAACTGCAAGGTCTGCGGTTCAAGCTCACCAGCTGCTCCTTGGAAACCCTATATAGGGTTGCTAGGGGTCAGAACCGACTCAATGGCACTTAACAACAACAGGGGACTACAGGAGTCCTGGTATGGCACTGTGGGTTAATGTGCCAGAGTTTGAACTGCAAGGTCGGTGATTCAAGCTCACCAGCTGCTCCTTAGAAACCCTATATAGGGTTGCTATTGGTTAGAACCAACTCAAAGGCACTTAACAATAGGGGACTACAACTCATTTATCAGTTTGCTTTACTGCGGTGGTTTGCGAGTTACTGTGATTCTGGAAGCTATGTCACTGGTATTTTGAGTGCTGACAGGGTCACCCATGGTGGACAGGTTAGAGCTGAGCTTCCAGACTAAAACCGACTTGAAAGAAGGAGAGGCAGGCTACTTCCAAATGTTTAACCACTGGAAATCTATGAATAGCAGTGAAACACTGTCAGCACTAGAAGATTGAATATTGAAACAATTTTTATTGGTCCAGTTGTGAAGATTTTTGTCTTCTTTATATTGAGGAGTAATTCATATTGAAAACTGTTGTGTATATCTTCATCAGTAAATGTTTCAAATACAGTTCTCTTTCAGTAAGCAAGGTTGTGTCATCTCCTAAAACTTGTAAGCAAGTCATTTCGTGCCTTTGTCACCCCCTCATTTTAGGTAGCCAATGTCTAAGTGCCCGTCCCTATCAACCCTGTATACAGAGGGGATAGGATTTATCTTGAATGTGAAGACTCCCTTCTTTTCTGTTGGTATTTTGAGCTACTACATCCATGAGTATAGGTCAAGTTCATTAAATTGTAGCAATTTACACTTGTTTCCTTTATCAAAAGTTATTTTTTTATCTTCCTCTAGTCGAGTTCTGATTATTAAGCCATGGAGGCTAAGTCAAATGGGTACTATCTGCAAGTTTGGGCGTTCTTGTGCGTCTCCCCTCATTTCATATCAGCTGGATGCTTCACTCTCAGCTCCAGCCCCCCATGGCTATGTCCTTGTCCATGGGCTCGGGAGTTCTCAGGTCTTACCACACTTTGGACCAACCAGCCCTTCCTCTTCTCTCTCTCATCTCCAAGTCGACAGGAGTCTATGGCACGTGGTTGAACTCAGTCCATTTCTTCATTGCTGCCTTTTCCCCTCTTCTACTCACCAGTAGACCAATGTGGTCACCAGCAAACTTATATGCCTGGTCATGTATTCCCTTTGAGTTTCAGTCTTGGGGGTGGGGGGGTTGTCCTGAAGGAACTTGATTACTTGCCTTGATAGCTACCTGGGAACAATTTGCTTGTTCTTATAGTAGCCACTCAGACCGCCATTTTTGTTTTGGATTTTTCCTGCTGATCTTTCTTTCAAGGAGTATCTTCTGTTGCTCTAGCTGTTTCAGGCTGATCTGCTTGTCATTTTTAGTGGGAATGTTCCAAGTCTGAGCATACATCACTATTTACCTCTATCTCTTTTAGCCCATACAAACCTGCCTCAGTGTTTCCTATCTACCTTATTATTCCACCCCTACCCCTTCTTGTGTATTGCCCTCCCCAACACCTAAACTATGATGTGACTACCCCCTACCCTGTGCTCTATCATCCCCTACCTTCTTCCTTCCCCATGCATCCCACTCCTACTGGTAACCAACAAAGAAGTTTTGTTTTTTCTTTTAGTATGGGATTTACACCCTCGGAAACCCTGTACAGGGTCGCTATGGGTCGGAACCGACTCGACGGCACTTAACAACAACAACAACATCATTTCTTAAGCTACTAAAGTCAATCTTAATGATAATGATGAAGTAAGCATTTGACATGACTCAAAATGAGAAGAAACATCTGCAAACATCTATTAGTAACTGAAATATGAAATGTGCAAAGTATGAATCTAAAAAAAATGGAAATGATCAAAAATGAAATGGAATGCTTAAAGATAGGTATTCAAGGCCTTAGTGGGCTGAAATGGACTGGTATGGGGCATTTTAAGCCAGACAATCCCATGGTCTACTCTCCTGGGAACAACAAATTGAAGTGGAATGGCATAAAAAAGACCATTCCAAGATGTGTCCTGAATTACAACACTGTTAGTGATAGGATAGTATACTTTGATTTCTTTTCTTTTTAACTTTTTATTGTGAATTGAGTGAAGGTTTATAAGAAAGACCTGTTAATGGGACTATTCTTCAAATTTATGCACCAACCACTAATGCCAAAGATGAAGAAATGGAAGATTTTTACCAATCTTCTGTAGTCTGAAGTTGATCAAATATGTGTAAATAATTACTGGTGACTGGGATGTGAGAGTTGAACACAGAAGAAGGATCAGTAGTTGGGAAAAAAAAGTCCTTGGTGATGGAAACTATGTGGAGGTCACATGTTAGAATTTTGGAAGACCAACAACTTATTTATTCAATAAGTCTTCCCCTTTGCAAGCTTGACTAACTTTTACTTATTACCTAGTTTTCAGTTAAAATACTGCTTTCTTAGAAAGGTCTTCTCTGACCTTCTCTCTAATCTAAGTTAGGCACGCATATAATTTTCTCTCTCAATAAATCTTTAACTTAATATTTCTTACCATTGTGCTGATATGAAGGTAAGTAAAATTGTGTTGCTGCAAAATCATAGAAACCTGTGTTAAACAAAAATATGAAAATGTGAAGGTATTGCTTTTCAACATATCGTCTATCTAGGTCTATGCACTTCTGAAAGCAGTGTTTCTATCACTCTAACACTTCCCTGAAAAATTATCTGTCACTCGATTTACACCTAATCAAAATGGCAGTTGTGGCATCCTCTTGGACTCAAATGATGTTCCTTTTAAATGTACTTTGAGTTTGGAGAACAAAAAGAAATCCAAAGGGGCAAGATTAGGGCTGTAGGGTGGATGGGGTAAAGTTTCCCAATGAAATTTTTATAGACCAGCCCTTGCTAACCTCCAAAAATAAGAAGGTATGTTGATGTCATGGAAAAAAATTCCTCAGTGTAACTTGCTGGCCTTTTTCTTATCAATGCAGTTTTCCATTTCTTCATAATAAATGCCCGTGATCATTCTGTTTTCCTTCAAGAAAATCTATGCCCATGATCATTTTGATTTCCTTCAAGAAAATCTATCCAGATGACCCCATTAGAATTTCCAAAAATAGTCACCATATCCTTCTGAGCTGACCTCTCTGCCTTGAATTCTTTGAGGTCTTTCTGACCTCCTTAAAACATTTGATCAATATAAAACCTGTAGCATTCTCATAAACTTGTTGCAAAGCTTCAGTGATTTGGGAAAATGTCCACTTGTGCCATGTTGAAAATTTGATATTAGCCCCGACCTCAAATTTGTTTATTTTCCCCATGGCACAAAAAGTATCCTTTTTTAGGAAGGCATCCAGCAGAAC